TTAAAAGCATTTTGACACTCATGAATCGATTGTGAATTTATAACAAAGACGAATAACGATGTTGACAACACGTGCCACGAGGGTAATTCTTTACTTGTGTTGCGGGTATGAATTTTTTATTTAATGTCAGTGGGAATTCCATTGAATTAAATCAAGCTTATTTTTGGCGTTGGCTGTTTTATGAGGACTCTTTCTTCACCCTCRTCCCTAGGCAATTTTGCTTTCGTTTGGGGTCCCGCCTGACCTCAGASGAAGGGAATAAGTCCTGGKAACGAGGTTGCTCTTTCTAATATACTGGRAAAAAYCGCGCACTTTAAAATTGTAAATTTGATGTAAATGTCATGTAAATTTACATCATTTTGGACACTTACATAATATTTACATCAAGTTTAYAACCTWTAAAGTGCGAAAGTTTTCCAGTGAATATGAAAGCTAAGGATCTGCTGGAATAAGGTCTCGGGAATAACGTCAAATGTTACATGTGCCGAAWTCAACTKAGCACATGCGATGATGATTAATTTATTCTTATTCTTTTAATCGTTTCTTGTTTTTTAAATGTTTTTTTATTTCTAATATTACATCATTACYAAAAACGGAAAGATATCTCTGTAAATCTTACCTCAATTTTTGGACTCCTTTTAAGATGTCAACCACCTTTTTTTTGTGTTTTGCCGAGGTGAAAGTAGGTTTGGAGGCAATGCGGAAATCCACCCATCAGATAAGCTAGGTAATATCAGTTAGAACATAATCGAAAACATCCGATTGCTACCCTTACAGACATTTAAAAGCAATAAAAACATCGCCATCAAGCGGCTAATTTCTCGTTATGTAAATACATGTATTTCTAGTTATTATTATTTTTTTCTTGTTATATGGAATTATGTATAGTACGATTGAATKATTGACCAATTTATTTATTTATTAATATATTTATTGATTTATTGATTTATAATGTTTTTCATCATTGTATCACACGAATTAAAATTATACGGTTGGTTTTTCAAATCTCACTTTGAACTGACCAAATATTGCGACCATACGGTTTGAAGCACGCAGTCTTTACACTACAACAACAACAATAAAAAAMTTATAAAACCAATAAAAAAGCTACGAGAGTTGAACAGATAACACTACAATACAAACAATTATTCCATCCAACAACTCACATTTTTTTATTCCATTTTTTTATTTCTAGTTTTTCTAATGTCATTCCATTACATTACTGACAAGAAAATGTCTTCTTAATATCGTGCCTGGCAGCTATTTTTAAAATTGTACGTATCTCTCCCGTATATGACTTCCTTTATTGCAGTAGTAAAGCGGAAACATAAAGCTAACAGTTCAAATTTCAATTCAGTCCGAGACTAAATGCTCCTTTTATTTTTGATGCTTTTTCTTTTTTAAAAATGTATATGTACGTGCACAAAAATTTTGCGATAAAATCGACGATATAAAACTAGTTAAGCTCTTTTTAAATCTTATTAGAAACGCCCCGATTTACAAGGGAATAATCTATAGGATTACAGGTCGTAATTGTATCGGCTCAGATATAGTGGCGACGTAAATGAATTTTGTCTGTTGTTAATCGATGGCGCATTTCGACTTCTCCCTCGTGATATTAAATAATAGTCAAAGGAACAGGTAGTGAAAGGAATGTGTACCTCAAAACGGCTGGTGATTTAAAAAAATTATCACTTCGGTGATATGAGAGGCGAGATTTGATAAAAATTAGCATAGGGTCAGATAGGCCACACCCTTTTTTAATCGATTTAGTACGCAGTCGTTTTTACATGACAGAAATCTATGGACCACCGAACATTAAAATCAAAAGCAACTCTTTCAATAATTCTTGACAGCATAAAGCAAAACATAGCCAAAAGTCTATACATTTTTTATGTGTATTTTCTTCAATTTCAATGCTTATACACGCCTCTGTACTTGATTTTCTATCGATTTAAGGTCGGAATAAATTGGATAATTGTGAACCTCAAGTTAAGGCAGATGCCGGCTTAACCCGAGTACGTATTCCTCATTTAAAGATATCAATAATTAAGACGTTTGGATTTTGATTAAATGGCTCCTTATAGCTAATGTTCTGTACAAAAAAGCCGACCAGCTTCATTATACGTGGACAATCAGCGAGACGGGGTGTTTAGGCTCGACGCGTGCCGTAGAGTCGCTCTACCCAGCACGATACGGTAGATCATTCAATAGAACCGCATAAAAGCGTTGATTCTGGGCCCACATGGCTCACTTTATCGAAAGCAAACTGCGRAGAACAGCTTCTTTTTAAGTATGCTATATTTTTAGTTATACAGAATCTCTGCTCGCACTTATCGTTGCATTGTTGTTAATGCTTTGCAGGTCATGTGTTTGTTTTTATCGTAGTTATCATAACAACAAAGAAAGGTTTGCATGTACTGCTTTGTTCACTACGCAGATTAAGTTCTTTTCGCCAAAAAGCAGCTTTGCTAACCATATTATTTGAATTCTTTTCCGCTAGGGAGTTCTTCGTTTAAATATAACCGAATTACGTTACTTTGACGACCGCATTTGGTGACAAGATGGTGGATTGCGCGCTTCTCCATTTCYCGGTGAGTACATGTATTAAAACTTAAAGTACAATATACCCTCACTGTAGTAAAACTACCAGGSCTGATACTTTAAATGTTTTTATAAACTTGTTGACTTAAGTTTGAACTGTGCAAATACTTTGTTTTCCTTGTTAATTGAAACAAAATACTCGTATCACAAGATAAGATACTCTGTAAGTAGATGTCAAAACGCCCTGAAATTGTGAATTTCTTTAAAGTAGCGCTGAAACAATACCGAGAATTCGCGTTTATTTTGACAACTGGTTAAAAGCGCACATTYAGACCTATGCGGAGATTGTTTATTGAAAATATTGTATGTTGTGGGAGTATTTTTTGTGAATCAAGCGGTGTCTTTGAGCCTAGTTGTGGGAACGGCTATATTTGCCTGACTATAATCGCCTCATGCACTTCAGTACCACCAAGTGTTTACAATCTTGTGAATAAACGTACTTCAGTTGATTATATAAGTAAGGAAAGAAGCGATGTCAATTATTCTGCAATATTTGTGCTGAAATAATTCGCATTACACTAAAAATYGAAATATACATTTATATTTATGCGCGTCTCAAGCTGAATAAATGTATTTACAGAAAGGTGTGTTTACTTCGCACTTCAATAAAAAAAAGGAAATTACGAATACGAATTAATATTACGCGCTATGTACAGCTGATACGAATCGTAAAAACACCGGACAGTTCAGTACTGTTCGGGTATAATTTCAGTTTTGAATAGCGCTGGTTTTACTATACTGAGAGGAATCATACCGGTGTAATTCACACTTCGCCCACATACCAGTATTTCATATTGGCAATGCAATGAAGAATAATCCAGGAAGCCTTTGATATCTTAAAAGCTTTATTCAATCGATGTTATTGTACATCTTTTCTGTGATCAGGTGAAAGTCTGGCGCGTGGTACCTTCCACGCTTATTCACAATAAATAATAGGAAACAAAGGCCTAACAAAGATTTTTCAGACGGAAGGAAAGCGACATATWCGTCGCGAAATTCACTGCGTCTGACATAACGACGTTTAATAACGTGCATGAAATACGTCAAGGAATTATATTCTTGTGAAAGAAACGTTCAAAGGCGCTATAAACTGACTTTCTTAATAACTGTTGGAAGAACTCTTTTAGTGTCGCGCATCGTCGAGTCAACACTTCACAAGTCTACAGGTACCATAATTAATGTCATCCAGTCATAACCATATAGAATTCTRATCCATTAAATCATTATCGGCTCTATATATAGGATTTTATTTTYGTTTAATTATTTCTCGCTAAGCTTTGACTCTTCGCCCCGTCGGTTAGTACGTGGTTATATTTGAATAGTATAATTTAAGCAGTTCGGTTATGGAATATTCGAATGTAGAAAATTGATTATAATTACTAGTGATGTAATTTGCCTTGCGGCTTGCAAATTGTTCAAAAAGACTCTAAGAAAAACTGAATACAGTTACTGAAAATAGAAACAGCTTTTTATAGTATAGTTTTAACTCTGAAACTCAAAGAAAAAGGACCTGTTTCGCTTTATTACATTTTTTGTATATCGTCTTTTAAGACCGGTAACATTATKTTGAGTGTTTATAGCGRGAGCATTCATTCGAAACGCTCAAAACATTGTCGAAAAGCTCAACATTTTAGCAAAGCGAATTTTTCCAGATCAAAGCGAGACCTTTACTAACAAAGAACACAAAAACTCTTCATTRCACCTGTTGTAACGTGTTTTTGTAAGAATAATTTCCTTTTTCACTTAAAAATCATAATAACTGAGAAAAGTTGCACCAATCGTGCAGTATCCTATCAGACCGATCTGAAGTAGARCGCTCTCAATCCGCTCTTCGCTGCTTTCAAAAKWAGAAAGGTTAATACATTTGGGGAACGAAGGTCTGTTTAATGTTTCATAGAATGACAAACCTCAACCGGGCCTTTTTGTGAAACGGAAATTCATCAAATGAAATGAGTGAAATCCATGAGGGGTGGATTGAGTCATCGATGACGTATGAACGCATTACATGAATGTAATATCGYATTTGAGCTTCGTGGAGGAATAACCCAGTGACCCCAGCGTGCGTTGTATTTCCCGTAGCGACTAGTATTGATGAAAAAACCACAAAGCCGAGAGAGCGTTCGTACTGGTACGAGTAGACTCTTTAAGAGAAAAATTGGCAGCTATACTCAATAAGACAAGCTAGGTATCTTATCTGATTCCCTATAAGGTAAGTGAAACGATACAGCGATTCATTCAACGCTGCATTTCACGAAAAGTTCCAGTCCTGAGCACTCTTAAAGCGGCACTAAAGCCATCGCACAATACGCTTGAAAGTAAACCAGTGAATAACAAAAAAGCGTTATTTTCAAGTGTCGCCGGCGTACAGCTTGGAGTACATTAAAAGCCTGTTCCACTTGGGAGTGGCTGTCTCGATCTTTTCTCCTGAGATACAAATCGAGAATTTTACTCCGTNACTCGAGAATGGATGGTACTTTACTCGAGACCGGTACTGTATTGTAGAAAAGTACAGATTTTTATCTCACTTAGCCCCCTCTGCAGACAACTCTATATAAACTCCTTTTCTTTAATTTACGAGCAGTTGGGCTTCCTTTGGTGAGAGGCAGGGAGACTGAGGGCCCCCACCCCCTTCGTCTTTTGCATATTTGTTCCCAGACTTCTACAGAGAGAATATAAAACAGATACATGTGGAGGAGGCTAATCTCACTTTAATGCGAGGTTTTTGTGCTTATAGTTGGTGGGAACCAAGCAACAAGAATTTGGAGTCAACTCCATGCAGCTTTTATACTACCAGGTACTATGAAATATACTAAATAGTATTATTATTACTTATTACTTTTAATGTTATTGTTATCATAAGTTATTCCCATTTTTGTTGACATTTTCCTTGTTGTTAATAGGCWCCGCTGTCTGCTTGTTTACTTGCTTTTGTTGTKCCTTTCTTTGAACCAGTGGTAGGAAAAGGAGGATTGTTATCTTCTTGGCCACCAWTGGCCCTGGTTAGTTTGTATGYTAGTTAGGTYGCTCTCATGCAAGCMTTCTCCCTCATATGMATWTCACTWATGTGYTWAATACATAGTAATATTACTAACAGCACWAAYACAACTTTATTTCCATAAGAAACTTTATTTCATCARTCATTTTGTATCTTTATGTTATTAATCTTATTTAGTCATTATTGTTTGTTTAGATTGCTGTATTAGCATCAGGAGTGGTGGCGTTCACAGTGAACTTATCRATCTACTGGATTATTGGCAACACATCGCCTGTCACGTATCCTTGAGAACACCTATTAGTTAATGTAAACAGTTTATAATGAGTTTATAACATATAATGTAATCTGGAATGGACCTCATTGGCTTCTCAGTTAAATTTTTTCTACCTGATTTCTTCTAACTAGGAGTCAGTTTCATTGTTCATTATATTTGTATTTTCACACAGAATACTCAATTCGGTGGCAATCTACCTGCCAATGCCTCAGCCAATTAGGTTTATTTTCATCAGTGGAAAGTCCTTGTTATAATTGTTGAAAGATATTTTTTCTTTGCTTAATACAGCATCACATTTCCATTTAATTCCTTATCTTTATCAAAGCTATAACATGGTTGGTCATCTAAAATTCTGTGCCACTCTCTTAGGTGGATATTTTCTATTCCATGACCCTCTGAAAGTGAATCAATTCATTGGGATAACCATTACGTTATCAGGCATTATTATATATACACATTTTAAACTTAAAGAGCAAAAACAACCACCACTGCCAACAGTCACAAAACAAGTTAAAATATAAGTAGCTATTTATTTATTTTTTTACAATTTTAAAACCTACTAAAGGATTCAAATCTTAAATATATATAATAGAATATGCATTATAGCAAGTCCTATGAATTAAACTATTCTATTCTTAAATTAATTTTAAAATATTTTCATTCATTCATTTATTCATTCATCTATCGATTCAAATAATTTTTTCGATTGTATTTTATTCATTTTTTTTTTTTTTACCGCTTTTGCTTGGTTGTTATATTCGTGAACAAGACGTAATCTTCTAATGTATCTGGTTTAAACAACTGTTTGAAGTCACGTTTCTTAGCATATCTCTTGAACACAAGTTCACAGAACGGAAGATTGCGTCAAGAGCAACGTAACAACCATAATGCCTTGCGTCACACGGTCGTCTTGTTGTCGGTATTGATTTCGACTTGGTTGTTGTACATCAACAGCATGGCTTCAAGATATTCTGAAAAGATTCGCAAAGCTTTTAGTATCTTTACAAATTTAACATTTTTTTAAAAGAATATACTTACCTTATACGCATATTCCCTGTCCAGCAGTCGAAATCTAAAGCCATTTTTATGCGCGTATGTCCTAACGTGATCCAGAAGTTCGCAGTTTTTTACGTTAAAACCAACGAGGTTAAAATTAAACCCCAAGCAATTGTGAGCCCTCAGACAGAAATCCTCGCACTGGGTTTCACTCACTGCATCATGCGCGCGCAGAATGTGTCCAACTATATACATATTCTCAGCCATGTTACGACTGAAAGGYARTTCGATTGTCTCGCACTTYTTGGGTCGATTTGGTTTGGAAGGTGTGGTCACGGATGGCGTTACACGTGTTGGTGATGGTGTGACAGGTGGTGTCACGCTAGGTACTGACGGACCCAAAGATGATGACGTCGTTACAGAAGCTTCAAGAAAATATTAAATATGTCAAAAAGTCGTACAAGGTAATTTAGAAATGCATCAGRATTTCCCAGGTTCCAGAGGCTTGTCTTTTATTCTTTTGTTATATACTATGTTATCGAGCCGCGAAACGGCGAGACGTTATTAAAGAAAACGTTCTCGGAATGGTCGGCTCGATAACRTYGTAASCAAAAGAATGAAAGAMAAGCCTCTGGAACCAGGGTACATCAGGATTTGCGTTAGTGATCAACTTTCACCATACAAGTGAACGCTGAAATCTCCACGCTTTATTTGACAGAAATTAGCCAAAGAAGGGCCCGTCTCTCATTCTTTAGAGTTAGGCTCTCGGCGCACGCTAGAACTCTTGTTATGTCAGTTGCTCTTTTTCCTGGTTAGCCTCACTATAGTGCAAAAATAACCGCTGGTTGACAAAAGCGTGGAACACATGTAATGATTGAACTTCCTTTTTATCATGTTGCAGAGAACAAACAGTCTTACGTGGTTCGGTCGGGCAAAGATCACATCGTTTTGGGCATTTCTCTCTGGAATAAGAGTTAGTTGGACTGCACCATTTCATGTAACTCCACCACCAACAGAGTTTACCAGTATCTTTGCATTCTACAAGACAAATAGTCGGTAAGTGGAATTTACAGCTGTTTCTAAAAGGTTGTGGAATGTATGTCCGAAAGTTACTCTGGGTAATTGACAATTGATGGACTATTTCGATTCCATCAGTAATCAATCCCTCAAGTTCTTTTTGGTCGTGCAATYTACACGGGTTTTTAAAATAATTACTTAGAATACGATAGAAATTATAGGCGGATATTCTCAGTTTGCGGCAATGGTATTATTCGCGCCGTATTGCAGTGAATAGAAGCGCTAAAATGCGGTAACTTTCAAACCTTGCGATGAACGGTGTTTGCGACGTTTGATGTCCGTTGAAACGATCCGTTCGGTTGCGCTGATGGTGTTTTGTGCGAGCTATGTTGCGGTGATTGATAGCGTTTAAGTGCGGTTTTGGGGTGAGTTTCGAACCCTGCGATGAATAACCACCTTATTTACGAAATGTAACGTTCGGTRTTCGTTAAAGCGAATTGTTGCGGTGATGGCGTTTCGTTTGCGCGATGTTGCGGTAAATGGGTACGCTAAAGTACGCATTATTATATTAACAATCTGGGAAATGATCCGTTTGGTTGCGGTATCAACGTTAGGATAAATGCTACTTTCAGTCTTCATTGGGATTTTAAATCTTTTTTTAAGAAAAGCGGCTTTTAAACTGATGTTACTTACTGGTAGCGATGCACCTGCATTTAATAAACGGCTGAATCGTTCCTATATGAGCTTAAGTTTCATTTTAGATAAAATACATTCTTGTTCTATCTTCCCTTTCTGCCTTCAGATTCAGTTTCAACATTYATTCTTCATTTTCTTTTCGGTTCGTTGCTTTGATCTTTCGTTCTCTCTCCCTTTATCCCTTACGGTACTTTTTAAACTTATTTCCCTTTGTGTTTCTTATTTTGTTTTCGCCATTTTTCCATCAACTCCTCTTTATTATTTGTGATAATATTATTTTTCATATTATTATTTGTTTCGTTCTCTCTCATAATATCCCTTGCGATACTTTTTAAACCTATTTCGCTCTGTGTTTCTCATTTTGTTTTCGTCATTTTCCCATCAACTCTTCTTTATTATTTGTTATCATATTTCTTCCTTGAATTCAATTAAAATAACGTTGTATCTCGTATCAGSTTGTCACAGATGTCTGGTTTTGTCCCCCGCTTTACACATCAAATCCCGCTCTTAAATGTGTGTGGCTATTAGACAGACTTTAATTGAAAATTGCGTGGTTTCACAAGTCCACGACAAACAATGTCTATAAAGGAAAAGATAGTAAAAGCGCGACAAAAGAKTTTTGCAGCAAAAAGTTTAAACTATTAGTGTCACTTTATCCGATCAACTCAACAAAATTAATGAATAGAAATAGGAAATAAAGAGGTGCCAATGCTTCGATAAGTTCTCAAAAAAGGAGATAATAGAGTGTAAAATCAGAAGTAAGAAAATTTGTTGTTTTGTTTTCCCTTATCGTAGAATAAATTGAAACTTCGTTTTTTCCAGATATTTCCTAAAAGCATACTATAAAAGGGCTTTACGTAATCCCTTAAGATCGACTTAAGAGCTTATATATGTGCTGTGAGGGTAATATGCTCACTTTACAATCTATGTACGTGAGGAGTTGGATGGGGGCTTTCTCTCTGCTTTCACAGCTTCTTCGCCTTCGTGGCTTCTTTGAAGTAAGGTTTTTCAACTATTCCATTAGTATTTCTGATATTTCCCTGGATCTATTTCTATTCATTTGTGTGATTTCTATAGATTACAGTGGAGGAATATTGATAATATTTAGTAAGAATTGTAAAATATCTGGTAATGTGCAATCTAAAATGAGAATTGAATCCGTGAAACTGATTAAGGCGAATTAGACAAAGATTCTTTTCGGCTCGTTTCTTTCATTATTTCGTGTGTGCCGAAATCAATGGCGTTTGAATCTTTTCTCTCCTCTCATTATTATCTCATTTGCATTCACTTCAGCACATAAGAAATACGTCTAATGTAACGGGTCCTAATCTTAATAGTCGTAATAATTGCTATGTTTTCCCTCATGAAATAATTGGATTTTATGACATGAGTTAAATTGCCTCGCCCRCTAGTATTKTGCGCGAGTTGTCATATTAAAMMACTTACAACGAACGTTATTTTATGCCCGGAGAGAAAAAAATATGTAATTATCGAAACAYTAGCTGTTTTAACCGACATCAATTCCTAGGGTAGCACTAGTAGTAATGGAAAGTTAGATAGAGATTTGGTATAATTGTTTAGACGAGAAAATCACTACCATCCATCTAAATTACTGAATATTTATGCCTTGTGCTCGTTGATGTGTTTTGTAGCATTTTCGTATTGTCCTCCGTCCTTAAAGGATGGACAAAAACTACGAAAATGCTACGAAAACTAATCTGTTGTGCAAGACCATGTAATTGAGAGTTTGTCCCTAAAAGTGCACAGCTTTGGACCAAATGTTTTTGATAGTAATGCGTCGTGTTTTTACWGGAGATTTTCTTGTTTTACCGAAAAGTCGTGTTCTATTTCTTATAACTATCGATGATAGCTTTCAATCGAGCAGATTAAAAACTAACTGCTGTCTAATTTAGGTTAAAATGGTTTGAGTCATTAATAGTCCAACCTACAAATTGCTGGTAAGGGAAGTCAATATTCACAGATAGAGATTTTGACACTATGAAACCAAACATTGACGGAGCACATCAGAAATGACACAGAAAACCAAACTTGTAAGGTCTGTCAACATAGTTGTTGTBATCTAACGGACAGTTTTTTTCCTCCTTTCACGTTCTTGAGTGAGAGCTAGTCAGAATGTTTCTTTTGAAAAACTCTCTAGATCAATCTATCTTACGGTTAGTGCTCTAGTTTTGAGTACCAATCAATCAACTTAACGCCCCTTGCTAGAAAAAAAMCTTTCAAGATTCATCTCCCAGGCGGGAATAAAAAGTTCATAAATCGCGGATATTTGTATGAATCGGCTTTAGTTTATCCAGGATTAGCATAGATTAGAACTGAATAGCCAACCATTTAATTCATAAATACAAAAGATGAGCTATTTAGAATACCCGTGAGATATACCGGAAAAGTTGTCGCGAAAAAACTTATCTCAGCGTCAGCGCAAATAATGAGACARTTTTCAATTTGAAGTGATCAATATTGGYCAAATTTTGATGTTGTATTTGATTAATATTGTATGTTGTACTGCATATTACTTCGAATGGACCTGTTTCTGTCCAAAATTCGTAACATAATTCGTGTTTTTTTCTTCCTGAATTTGATTATATTTAATGTATGTAGTGAGAAAGGTTTCTGTCCTCTTCGCTACTTAAAGCACACTACATGCTTTCAACTAAATTTTAAGTTTTTATCAATCTTCATCTAATTAACCGGAAAATTCATTACGATAATTAAAAATGCTTTAAATCTTGAGGCATTTCTTKGTGATAACTACCACAGTAAACGCACATAAATTAAACCGTAGCTTTGTCTGATAMRAGAGAAGCTATCAGACATCAAAGARCTTGGTCACTGCTGYGGGGTGAGTTTCAATCGTTTTCGTGTAGTTTTACTAGCCGCGCGCGTCAAAATTGCGCGAAATTTTGGCGCCAAAAGAATTCTTGTCAACTTTTTGTGTAAAAATTCTGAAGTAAGCTTTTGTTTCGATTACCAGTCATTTCAAAGTTTAAATTTTCTATTATTTTGACTTCAAAACCGCACAAAGACTCGGCGTCAGACTTAAAGGTTRCATWAAACATAGTCAAAATCCATCCTCATGATTTAAACGACAGTTTTAAATTCATAACCTTATCATGGTAAGTTGAAGTAATTGTATATATTATTATTATTATTATAGAGTATTTTCAGGTAAAATACATTCAATGGGCGCGGCGTATTCTATGGGGAATTCAATTATCGATAGCTAACTTTTTTGAAGAGACTTCTAATAGTTGATAAATTACTGATTTTGAAACATTTGGTATTTAGCCGTGCAGTGACAGTGCTTGCTATGTAATTTTATATGTGAMATAACCTGGTATTCAACAATGACTCCCTTTGACTATTTTTGTCATATTATAGTTTGATTTCCGTTGTTTTATGTCACATGCAACCAATTCACGGTCTGGAATCCGATGCTCATTTTAATGCAATTCTCTTTTTCGCGATTTCTTTGTATAGTCATTTTTCATCATTTCAGTTGTTAGCAATAACATGAAAACAAGCCAAAATGTTGTGTTGGTGCTTGCAAAACAGAAATTGCAGATGGCAAACTTTAGAGCGAAAGTGTGTATATTTTATCGTTAGAACTACAGTTGGCTGTATTTTCCAAAAACATATCAAGGCAATAGATATTGRTAGTTAAATCTATTTTATTGTATTTGACCAACCATAGCAGATCTTCTAAGGAAGTAGTGTGTCCTATCATAATTACCTGTTGCTGTGGCAACTATAACCATGGAAACCAGTCCTATTAMAATACATGTCCATCTACGTAAGCAAAATGAGGTATAAGTCATGTCGCTAGTTCTTGTTTGGACGAGATTCCGGTTATGATTCCCAAAATAAAGTTCTTATTTCCTAGRGGAAAAATGCTTGCATTAATGACTTAGTTATAAAAGGTGGGAACTTGCGGTAAACTAGTGTGAGCTGCGTCGGTGTTTCTAAAGAAACAGTTGTGTAAAAAGACGAAGGATTATAACGTCCGAAACATCAGTAAGTTATTTCACCTACTTTTTTACGGTGTTGAATTTATCTTTTTACACAACTGTTGGTTATAAAAGCTCGAATTCTCTATGGTCTCTGGTCGGAAAAGTTTTAGTTCTCTCTCACTTTGGGTTACCACGTTTGAGGTTAATAATAAGACGACTCCAACCCCACTTGGTTAGTGCTCAAATAATTAAGTACTAGTTGAAACATTAGTATGCTGGAAAAACAGTGAAAACGTACGTTTTCGACTGTAATTCTTTGTCTTAGAAATAAAAAGTATTAATTAGGTCGTCCCTTTTGTAAAATACTCCTACGGAGAACAAATAAAGGGTGCAAGGAGCGAATCAAGAAGAGTTATTTCATTTGCTATCGAAACGTTTAACTAAAAGATCAACTTTTTTCCAAAAAAATGTATAAGTATTGCATGTTAACTGTTAATTGTTACCTTTGAACAGCAGTATTCTGCATGTATATGATGGGAATTGCACAATCAATACGCTGTAATCATTGTTTCATCGACTATTAATATGGGCATTTAAACATAGTGATATGACAGTATTAACACATTACTGACGTACATTTTGGGTACCATAGCAACGACGAGAAATGAAACTGGGAACAAATGAATAWTGTRCAGATTTTTTATCTGGTTGGTGTGGAGTAAAGGTGCATCCAACAATGAAAAGTCTGTGAATTTTGACGGGGTCTCTTAAGTTTTGGATTAATAGTGAATGAAAGAATGGGAAAAGAAATGAGAATATTTATGATGCGTCATGACTGAACATGATTGATAAAACTCCATAGATGTTTCAGTTCTTTCTAGTAYATTCTACGGTAAACATACTTTATTTACAATGAATATTTTGTGAGACCTTGCGTATTGATTGTTTAAGACACGCATGCGAAACTATACTGAAAATCAATTAGCCAAATGCCTTCAAAATGGAACAATTACKACAAGTCTCCACCCCCTGATTATCGTTTAGTTTCACTCATAAAAACTGTTTGGGATGAACAGGGGATCAACCTCTTTTCAACCTAGGACCTATAGAACTCCGTTAATATCTTAACATAGCCATCCCTGAATACAAATATAGAGCTGTTGCTTAGTAACGAAAAGACTTCATCGATGTTAGTGAATAAAAWAAGTTATGTAMATGKTCATCAATCCAAGAATTGACTACCGTAAAAAACTAATCAACCTACGCAAAAAATAATTATCCGTATTTTGGTACAATATTTTGTTTAAAATACAAATAAATAAGGAAGATTGTACAAAAATATTTGGAATTTTTAAATGATTTTTTTTTAGATTCGATCCCACCTTACTTAGCCAGCTTTTGTATTATGTAATATTCATGTAATAATATAAATTGAAATTTGTTCAAAATTTAAAGAGTAAAGAGGATTTATGCATGAATATCATTTTGATAATTTGCGTGAATTGTTATCCGGTCTTACCTTGGTTTGGCGATATTATAAACGACCAGATTTCTTCAATATTAATCCAGTGTTTTAATCTTCAGTTCTGAAAAATAAATGGTGTTGTCAAAATATTAACTTTATGTAATTCTAAAATAGAGATAAATTTTCAAACAATAAATTATTCAGCTRAAAAAGAGAAAAGTGTTTTCATTTTCAAGTTACTAGTGACGTATTGAGTAAAGTAAACTTCCTAAAAACTCATGAAAATACCATGAAAAGATATCTAAAACTAACTAACATTGTTAATAAGCAATATAATTAATTGTAGCAGATGGACTCACGTTGAATAGGCTCCCGCAAATTTCCGATACGYAAATCCAACACGAATGAACCCCCGACACCAAAACCCATTTCACTGCCAGCTACAAAAGTGGTTGTTTACAAAAGCCATTTGATTGCAAACAAGGAAGCCGTTCAAATGTCAGTAAGTGTAATTTATAACAAAAAAACGGTACTATTCATCTCTTAGACAACTACAATCCACCTGGTTATTTATACAACTAAATCAACTACTAGACATTCTCTGGGATATTAAATATATGCATATATATACAAATTGTAGCTTTTATTGAATGGCTAAATGGTTATTCATTTAATTTCATTTTTTAACATATATTCGATTTGATTGAGCATTCGATTTCACTGATTTCGCGATTCGACTTGATCATGTGTTCGATTTGATTACKTATTCGATTTGAAAATGAATAACATCATTTGGTTTTGAAAATGCATAGTAGGTCGCCAGCTATACAAGTAAAATAATTATCCATTAAAACTATCAACATAGTATAGCTAATTACTGATAAAACTTTTAACTGTTCACGAACACCTTGTTGAATTCATAATGTTAGATTCTGTTTKTGCGCGCATCACCGCGGTATCTTATCAGACGATCTCTTGCTTTTCAAAAGAAAATTGCAMACTCGACAGTAGACAATGTGCTGCGACGCCATTTTGTGGAACAAAGCATGKTGGGTAACGTTATTAAATAATCTCCAAATTCATTTATGTGTTCCCCGCTTTACAAAACTCAAAACACTTGCRTTATTGTGCAAGGATAACATGATAACGTTTTCATATAGAAATGAAAAGAGCACGAGGACAATATTTATCGCAATACTTTTCTCAAGAAATGAGCGTCCCTGCACATTACCTATAGCCTGAAGGCGAAGAAGGCACCAACTAGTCCTGCGTAAAATTCGTATATTGTTACACTATTTCCTTTTATGTCATGTCCGACAATAGACGCCATTTTGACAGAACGAGGCGGGTAACGTGATAGACGACTATAGTCGGTGATAAAGCGTTGTCTTGAGGGCATGAAGTACCTACAATAGAACACATTGACTACTATGTTACAATTGATAAATCATGTGATAAAAAACGGTAGAAAAGAAAAACATATTTGYCTCTTGGAAAACMGAAAYTTAGGCTTGATGTATATTATAAACACGCGCTCCGCTTTTTTGGCATTCTTTTACAGAATGTACTGGAACAASATGTAAAAAAACAAGAATTCCGAACAAAGAACTTTCCTTAGAACCTTTGCTGTGAATTGAATGTGTGAGTTGTCCGTAATATAGATCTCTCTGTTTTATAGCGGCGTGCAATACATGTGTCCGTAATAAATAGGTTTTGCAATATGGAGAATT